TACGCTCTCTCTCCTCCCTCCCCTCCCCTTCCCCCCTCCCCCCCCCCACCCCTCACCCCTCCTCCCTCTCTGCAGTCTGGTGGTCGTTGCCCTCACTGTCGCGCTCCTTGCTGGTCACACGGCAGCCGATGTCGACTGCTCTTTCCCGGGCGCGATGGAGATTGTGCCTGGCCACTGCGTCTTTAGGCCCTTAGCTCCAAGCGCAAGCTTTGCTTCCACTGTCAGCACTTGCAACGCCCAAGGTGGCTTCCCGGCTGTCCTGCCCACCCGTGGCTTTCGGGCCATGGTCAAGTCCAAGCTCGGTATCTCCGGGACGAGGTGGACCGGCCTCAAGTACACCACCAATCGTGGCGTCGGCTTTGTCTGGGCTGATGGTACTTCGGTTGAGGGCCTCGACTTTGAAGCCGGCTCGCCCTCGCTGACGGAATCGGTCTTCGCGATGAACTGGAACCCATCGCCCCCGCTTTTGCAGACCCGGAACAGTTTGGAAAGGCTCCCCGCTCTCTGCTCTGGCCGTACCAGCTGCTCCGTTTCACGCTGCGCGCGATGCGCCATGGAGTCGTCGACGCTGTGTCATACCTGTGCACCGGGCTGGGCCCTGCCAGACTGTACCACTCCAGCGAGCCGTGGCAGATGGCTGCTGGTGACCGGGAACAACTACGAGGTCAACAACCCGCGCGGCGGCGCCAAGAACCTAGTGGCCGCGGATGTCTTTATCATGGACTACTTGCATGCACGCAATTACTCGGTCGAGGTCGTCGGTGCTCAGTGGGTCGGCACCTACCACGCCGCCAACAAGGTCGGCATCATCCTCTCGTCCAACATCGATGCCACGGCGGCGGGTCAGTTGCAGGGCCTTTTCCGCGACTCGACGCTCCCGCTAGTTGTCTTGACCGGCGAGAGCCTCAAGTGGATGTATTGGTCGCCGACCCGCGACTGCACCGCCGACAGTCTTGCCCTCTCACCGGTCGACCCAGTCCACCCGCTGCTCCACGGCGTTGTCTTTGATGGCGGCAGCAGCACCACCGTGCTTACCGGATACTCTGGTACACGCTGCGCCCCCACAAGTGCAGGACCCGGATTTGTCGCTGTTGCCACCGACCCGATTTCCGGATCACTCCAGCTTGGGCTCTATCCGCGCGGCAGCGTCCAGCACGTCCGCAGCGACTATCCGATTACGTACACCTCGCAGGCGCGCGGCATTTTCTTTGCCATGAATCCGACGCAGGGTGCTACCTCATACACAACGTCCGGCATCAAAATCGTCGACAACCTGTTCCGGTATGCCACGGCCGCCGCTGTCGACGACTCCATGGTTGTTGCCGTCTCGCCGCGCAACGTCGGTCTTCCCAGCAGCGACGACGGCGATCGCTCAGTCAACGTCGCGCTGAGCCTCGGCGGTTCACTTGGAGGTGGCAACACTTACCCAGGCCTTGAGTTTGGCCTCTCGTTTGATGGCTGTACCTCGGTCGAAGGCCATCTCATTTTTGAGCTCGACGACGACGCCAGCGCTTCGATCGCCGTCAACAGCACCTGGGCAGGCCGTGTTGCCCGCATCTGCCTCCGGTCGTATGACGAACCATCGTGGCTCCGGCAGACCGCATCTGATGCCAGTATCCGGTTTGTGGCAACGTTGCCGACCGAGATCGTGGCCTTTGCGCCGACTGTCGTTCCTGGATCTGTGCCGACCACGCTCTCGGTCTCTGGCCGCGAGTTTTCGACTTCTGACTCGCGCATCGGCATCTTTGCCAACCCTGGCTGCTACCACGGTCTGATCGCTAGTGTTCCCTACTCGAGCGGCGAGGTGTCGTTGCCTGCACTTGGCGTCACCGGTCCCCACTACGTCTGCCTCTCCCATTCGCCCGGCTCCCCGTCGTGGGTCGCGCAGACCTCGCCCGAGAGCACCCTCGTGTTTGTGAACGGCTCAGACGTACTGACAGGCGTCGTGCCGACAACCTTTATGGCGAGCGACTCGGTCGCACTGGATATTCAAGGTCTTGCAGCCATGCCGCGCAACTCGATTGTGGCACTCACTGGCGCAGCCTCGACTTGTTCAGCCTCGGTAGCTTCTGTTGCCATCATTGACGCTGAGACCGCTGTGGATCTCGGCCGCGTCACCGCCGCTGGCGACTACAAGCTCTGCTTCTCACCCGACAACGGTGTTACTTTCACGCCCTTCCCATCGCTCACTGTGCAGATCAAGGCTATTTCGTCAACTTCGATTGTGTCGCTCTCACCATCATCGTTTTCTGCCGGTACCGCTCTTGCCGGCACCACCGTCGACTTTGCCACCGAGTTTGATCCGCTCGGGTCGCCTGCCCTCGGTCTCATTGCCTCTCACGACGAGTCGCTCTGCAACGCGACGCCGCTTAAGTCACCTGTTTCGGGCGGCAAGGCGTATTTTGCGTACGCCAATCTCGCGCCCATCGCCTCTGGCACCTGGTATGTTTGCCTCTCGCCACGCGGCGGCGCCGACGACACATGGTTGCTGCAGGAGGCGTCGACCACCATCAATATCCTTTAACCCTTAACGGTACGGTCGTTCAGACGTGTTGTCGCGCGTCTCGAAGTGAACAACTCGATGATGCCTGAGTTGCCGTTGCAGTGACGGACGCCTGGGAGCACGGGCGAGGCGCGCGAGGTGCTGTATGGCGCCGATCCGGAGGAGCGGCGGGCGCGGACGGTGCGGAGCTTGTCGTTGACGACCCCGACGACCGGGAAGGAGAACATTACAGAGTTGAACACCGCGGCCAGACGGGAGAGCGCGAGGACGTCTTGCGACGGACGAGCTTGCCGGTCGGCGTGGCCGCGCAAGTGGTGGCACGCCATCCTTGTATTGGATTCTGGACGCCGCGCTCATCGACGCGGACGCGCTCTGCGCTGACGCGAGCCCACGCCCCGCCATGACTCGCGTGGCTTTTCTCTACGACATCATCGACACCCTCGCCACCAGCCCCGACGCCGTCAGCTCGGCGCTGTTGCCGCCAGCGGAAGCGTCCCTCTGCAGCGGCTGCTCGTCATCACCACCTTCCACAACAAGCCGCCGTGCGACACGACTGCCTCGCCTGCCGGAAGCTTCATGGTAAGCGATCGCGGCCGCGGACCTTTTGCGCCGCGTGCGGCGTCCATCTCTGCATCGCCGACTGTTTTCTGTTGTGGCAGCCATTAACACATTGTACTACTCTTGTACCGCGATTGATGGACGTTGCGACGTCTGCGAAGCGTCGCGGAGCGCGGCTTGCGCGATGGACAAACTGTCCATTCCGAACCGAAAAGGTTTACACACGTTTCTCTCACATCGACGACGACGAATCGCACGACGATGAAGATGACGACGGGACATCTTGCGGTGGCGGTCCCGGGGGCCTCGGCGGAACCAGAGGCATCTCAGGCGGCGGCGGCATCGACAGCGGCATCGGCGGCGGCTGGGAAATTGAGGTCAGCGGCGAGACGCTCGTGTCGACCGAGTCAAAGCAGCACGATGAGAGCGAGTTGCAGGCAGAGGTCGGCGCCATCGTGCTCATTGGCATGGCCAGAAACTGCGCTGTGCTCCCATCTACCAGGCTCGACTTGGCCTCGTCATCGTCGACGACAGAGTCAAGACCGCGGTACGGCGTCATGCCAAAGTCCACATTCGTCGAGCCGAACGAAGGATTGGTTGAGCCAAAGACCGGGTTCATCATCAACCCATTCTCACTCTCCAGCACGCCGCTGTCAAAGTCTACGGCTGCATGATGCCCGACTGTCATCATCTCGACCCCGGACTCCATGCCGGCGCCTTCGAACTCGATGTTCTCAAAGACCAGTTCGGCATCCTCTTGGTCGCGCTGCTTGATCCGCCACAGCTCGTAGACCACTCCGACGCACACAATTCCCAGCAGTGCCACCAGCGCTGCGATCACAACTCCGTCGCGCAGAACCCGCGACGACGTGATGGTCCCGCCCCACAGCAGCACCACAGACCCGAAGAGCGTTGAGAAATCCATCATGTTGTGGTGTCGCTCAGCGTATGGATAGTGCCGTCCAAGCAGCGAGTATGCCAGTACGCACTGCAGCATCAGTGCGACCATCGTCGCCTTGACTGTTGGCGACGAGAATGCGCACACAGAGACCACAACCCCGAGCTTGCGCCCGAGAATCACGAGCTCGTACCAGAACAGGTCGCTCCGATACTTGGCCACAAGGAACGCGTACTTGGACGCAAACGTCACCTCATCCAACGCCGCCTGCTTGCGCTTCAGGAACATGCCCAGCAGCACAGGAATGGCCGTTCCCACAATCAGCGCCACAGTCAGAATCAGTGGCAGCAGCGTGTACCATGACGATGTGTAGCACCGCCGTTGCGGGTTGGTCGTCATCACCACGATCCCGCCGCCCACATCGGTGCAGTCCACATACCGCAGTGCCGCGTACATCAGCGGCAGATATAGCAGCAGGATCGTCTGCAGGTACCCACGCCCAGCCGCGTACACCACCGCCCACTCGAGGGAGCACAGCGAGCGCTTGTTGCCGTACACGCTGTCGGCATCGCGCGAGGCCTGCCACCTCCGCATCACGTTTCGCAGTCCGATGTACCCGAGGGTGACCACGGCAAACGGAAACAACAGGATCGGCAGCGCCATCGTCATGCCCCACTTGAACATCCACACGTCGCCGACGTCCACTCCGCACTCGGGTGACGCCAGGTCGAGGTTGAGGTTCACCAGCGAGACAACGTCAAACACCCCGCGCACCAGCGGGTGCCACTCCAGCCGGATCGTCCCGTAGATCGCCACAGCCTGCAGCGTGTTGAGCGCAATGACAAACGCCGCATACCCGTACACCTTGGAGTTGCGCATGTTGATCCATACCACGGCCGCCACAAATCCAAACACCGCCAGCACCAGGCACACAATGATCAGCGCGTTCGATCCCTTGCACTTGCGGCATCCGTCGCCAAACTGGTACCAGCCCTTGGTGCACTCGGCGCACAGCCGCCCGCGGTAGCCCTCGGTACAGACTCCGTTGCCGGCACACGACGCCGGACGCGGACATGCCACAAACGAGCTGCCGTCGTCCGAGAGCTCAAAGCCGGGGCCCGGCCGTGGCGGCTCGTGGCCGCCGGCGCAAACCGCACCAAACGGACACGGAACACAGCCCTGGCCCTCGACCTGGCCGTTCGGCCCGAACCAGTATGTGGTGAGGCAGGTGCAGTTGATCCACGACGCCGATCCCTCGGGCGCGCGCATAAACTCGGGACATGCCGTGCAAAACGCAGCGTTGCGCGTCTCCGAGTAGGTGCCGACCCCGCACGGAACACATGCCCCAGTAGTGCCGGACCCGACACTTCGCGTTCCGGGAAGACACGTCGTTGAGACCTGCGCCACATACGGCGAGCCGAGAATGTCCTCGCCGCCGACCTGGATCCGCAGCGTGTACGTTCCACCCTCGGCCACAAGCACGCTGAACGAGAGCTTGGAGCCGGCAAGGCTAAACGATGTCACCGGCGTCGTCTTGACGCCGAGCCGCATCGCAATCGACACAGCTGACGCCAGCGGTGGTGTTGTCACCTCGTTGTCGTACGCATCGCGGAGCGTGACACTGTATGTCACCACCGTCGCCGTCTCGAGTGAGAGCGTGCCCGTATCGGGCAGATCGTCGAGAGTTGACGCTGCTGCTGACACTGGGCCGGGCACGACCTCGGCGTCGACGGCAGTAGTTCCGAGCACAAAGTCGACGTTGTTGACAGCGAGCTGGAGCGTGTACGTAAAGCCCGCAACCGTCGGCGGCCGCATCGTCACATCGTATATACCGTTGGTAGTGTAGGTGGAGACCGTGACCAAGTTGTCGAGCGAGGCAAGCTCGGCCGGCGCCGAGACGTACGCCTGCGGCACGTCAAGCCCAGTCTCGACCGGCTGGACCAGGGAGTCGCGAATGGTCATCTGGAATGGGCCGATGGTGTCACCGGCAACCACGGTGTATTGCGGGACGAGGCCAGCGACAAACGAGTTGGTGATGTTGAACGCCGAGCAGAACGGCGGTGTGGCGCCGGTCCACATCGATCCCAAGATGGGCGTCCACGTGCACGTCCGCGCCGTCGAGCCGAGGAGGGTGAAGCCGTCATCACAAGCAAACGAGCACGTCTCGTCAAACGCACCGGGCGTGATCGCGTTCGACGCCCCGGTACAGGTCGTGGTCCCGTCAAGCAGCACCGGGAGCGGCGGGCACGAGACCTCGGCGCAGGTGGGCGGCGGCTGGCTTGTTCCGTTCCAGCCTCCGCCCATGCACGTCCGCTCCTGGAAGCCGAGGACAAAGTCAAAGCCCACATCACAGGTGTAGGAGGCGACTGAGCCGAGATAGCCAAAGTTGGAGAAGGAGACGGTACCGTTGGCCGGATCCGAGAGCAAGTTGCAGGCGTACGGCGGCGGCGGCGATGGCGGCGGCGGCGACGGAGGCGGAGGAGGCGGCGGCGACGGCGGCGGCGGCGGCGATGGCGGCGGCGGAGGAGGTGAGGGAGGAGGAGGAGGAGAAGGAGGAGGAGGAGAAGGTGGTGGTGGAGAAGGTGGCGGAGGAGGCGAAGGAGGAGGAGGGGAAGGCGGCGGCGGCGGCGAGGGCGGCGGCGGCGGCGGCGAGGGCGGCGGCGGCGAGGGAGGTGGCGGCGGCGATGGAGGAGGAGGGGCGGTGGCGATGGGGGCGGGGGTGGCGAGGGCGGCGGCGGCGGTGGCGATGGCGGCGGCGGCGGTGATGGCGGCGGCGGCGGTGGCGAGGGAGGCGGCGGCGGCGGCGGTGGATGCAACACAAATGTGACTCCGCTCTGCTCCACCCAGGCTCCGCCGTCAGTCGCCCGCTTCCGTGCACACACTCCGTAGGCTCCGGGCGTTATCTGCCCATTGACCTCGAGCCAAAACACCCCAGAAGTCCCGCTCACGCTCACATTGCTTGCGCTTGTGACGTTGTTGCATCCGTCGGTGGTGAGCCCGACTTCGTCGACGGCGCGCTCGTTGGCGGCCGTGAACCGCATCACCACCGCGATCATCCACTCTTCGGCGCTGGCTGGTGCCAGGCCGCTCACGCTTGTGCTAGTGACGTTGGCCACCGCCAACGTGGCTGTCTGCTTGGCAAAGTTGGATCCGCCATCAACCGAGTAGCACACATCGAGATCTCCAGGTGAGGCGAGGACGCCGAGATCCACCAGCGGCCCGCCGATGACCGGAGCGTAGGCGACCCAGCCAGAGCCGGCCTCACATGCCATGCCACTCGCCACCAGCCCAACAACCGCGCCGGCACCAGAGACCGTCCGCGCGCCCACAAACCGGACTACAGCCCGAGTTCCAGCATCGACAGCTGGAGGAGCGACGGCGGTGATGGTGCCTGCCGCGGTCACCACATCGACGGTTCGACCCATGTCTGTCCAGCCATCGCTGGCCGACGTTCGCATGCACACTGAGTATGATCCGGCGACGGCGGGCGTTGCCAGCGTCACGTTCTCGGTTGAGGCCGTGTAGGGCGCCGAGGCCGCGACGGTAGCACAGCCGGTAGTCGAGAGGCCGATCTGGGTTGTGGGCGAATGAATGGGGTGAGCCGGGTCGACGATGAGGACAAACGAGACCGGAGTGGCGGCTGGGAGGACGGTCGGAGTGAGTCCGCGGAGCGCAGACGGAGCAGCCACGACGTAGGTGAGCGAGAGTCGCTTCTGATGGACCCATGCGTTGTTGGCGGCCGAGCGTGTGCATACCGCGAACGTGGTAGTTCCCGACGAGGCCGCAGCGCGGAGATTGGCATCTGGAAGGACAAACGATGCCGATGCGGAGACAGCGGCGACGCGACCAAAGTCGCACATCTGTGCCGGCCCGCGGCGCATGCAGGCGTAATTTTCCATGGATGATGTGAGAGTATGCGCTCTCCACAGGCCGCCGTTGCCGACGCGCTGGATCAAATAATTCTCGCCATCTAGTGGTTCGTCAGACGCCCAGTTGTCATAGAACCCGCGGTCCATCGAGGTGTCGCGGGTTAGCGGCGAGTAGGAGATAGCGGGACCGACGTCAGACAAGAGAACATCAGAAGCCAGGTGGCCCAGAACACGAGTTGGGTTATCCCACAGATAGTCCTGGGTGGCAGACCAGGCGAAGTACGCGGACCACTCGTCAGCATCGAGCGAGTCGACAAGGAAGCCACCCTGGGCCATGCACTTGGCAAGCGCGGAATTGCGGGACGAGATCCTGTAATCTGGAATCCAGAAGCAGGCATCAGTCGGGGCGTAGTAGAAGCCCGGACAGGCCGCAGGATCGTAGCTTGCTGGGTCGACAAACGAGATCTGCCCGCTTCCGTCGATGTACGCTGCATCGGTTGCTCCAAGCGTCATCATAGTCGCCTCGCCGGCTAGCGCGCTTGCCGGCGTGAGCAAAGTGTACGACGTCGGATGCGGCCGGCCGAGCGCGATGTTGAGCGTCACAGTCTGGGATTGCCACGTCTCGCCCATGTCGTTTGAAATGCACAACGTGCGGGCGGAGCCGATCTCTGAGACGGGGATCGGGGTGTCGTACCAAAAGTACGAGCCGCGGATGGGAACCGGCGAAGAGACTGAGTCACACGCCGCGGTCGAGTCAAAGCCGATGAGTGCCGAGAAGGAGGGGGTGATAAACGAGTGGCGGAGGATGAGCGGATAGAAGTTGTCTGCCGGGTTGGTGTAGATTGTCCCAAGGTTGAGAGCAGTTAGGAGCTTGGTGGCATCAAGGCCAACACATACGGTGCGATACATAGCCCCATTTCCCTTGCGTCCCACATCTGGGGACTCATGAAGTTGGTGGTGCCCCAGTCTTGTCCGCTGCTGCCGTCGTTTGGCTCTCCGGGATACCACGAAGAGTATGACGATTGCAGGCCATTGATGCCACGATACTGCCACATGAACGTGTCATCGTATCCCATGTTAGCGGGACTAGTGGGGGCGATGCTAAAGGCGGCGTTGTTGTATGCCTTTGAGGGCGTCCACAGCGGCCACTCGCCGGTTGCTCGACACTTTGACATAGCCGCTGAGGGATAGACAGTCGAGCCATCCAACCGAAAGGTGAGGCCCCACCGATCGATCGCATGGGCGCGCGCCACTGCACGTTGAACCCGAGGTAGGCAAAGCCCAACACGAGGAAGACAAGGAGGTGGATGAGTGTATCGCAAAGAAACGCGAGTGCGGTGTGGGTGCGAGAGTGGGGGAGGGGAGGGGGAGGGGGAGCTCCCAAAGGCATTTTCCGCAGTGACTATTTTTTTTTTCTCCCTGCAAAGATGCGGAGGCGTACCGAAGAGAGCCACACCGAAGACGACTGCTAGCTTGACCATGAAGAGGGTGTGTCCAAGCATGGGGGAAGGGGTCGGGGTGGGGGTGGGGGGAAAGGAAAGTGCACGTATACGTAAGGTAGCGTATGTGTGTCACAGAGAGGAAATGGAAGTATGCGGAGGGGATGGGGAGAGGTATTGGGGAACGGAGTGTGGTGGTAGGGCTGGCTGGCTGGCTGGCTGGCTGGCTGGCTCTCCACCTTGTCGCTTTGCGTGTTGCCGTCCGCGTGACGGGCGTTTTCGGCATTATGATTCAACCACATTGGGACCACGTGTATTTTGCTTGTCACCGCCCTCCCCATCCACGGCTCATATCTCCACTGCCAAGTTGTGCGCGAGGGGAGTGAGGTAGTGCTTGGAAGACGTGTTGGGAGTGGGAGTTTTGAAGTGTTGGCTATGGCTGACCAGTGGTAGACTACGGCATCCTGCTACGACGACGACGAGCACGATGACGACTGTGGAGGCGGGCCGTCAGGGCGAGATGGCATCGGCGGAGGAAGGAGGACCGACGGCTGCATTTGAGTAACAGAGCCAATCATCGGATCAACCGTTGTGGCTGAGTTGTTGAGAGAGTCGAGCCCGCACGACGACATTGAGTTGTACGCCGAGACTGGGAAGGCCATGGAGTTGCCAGGGACCATCAGGCACCCATCCTCACTTTCGTTGTCCGCCTGCCTCGCGTTGCTGTTGCCCATCCCTTCAGCACTCATCACCGAGTCAAGTCCGCCAAAGTGCATCGACTCGAACGCTGGGTTCATCATCGATCCGACATCGCTCTCATGTACGCTCTCAAAGTCCATGGCTGCATGATGCCCGACTGTCATCATCTCGACCCCGGACTCCATGCCGGCTCCTTCGAACTCGATGTTCTCAAAGACAAACTCGACCTCTTCTTGGTCGCGCTGCCTGATTCGCCACAGCTCGTAGACCACTCCGACGCACACAATTCCCAGCAGTGCCACCAGCGCTGCGATCACAACTCCGTCGCGCAGAACCCGCGACGACGTGATGGTCCCGCCCCACAGCAGCACCACAGAGCCAAGCAAGGTAGCAAAGTCCATCATGTTGTGGTGCCACTCAGCATAAGGGTAGTGTTGAGTGAGCAGCGCGTACGCTAGCACGCACTGTAGCATCAGCGCGACCATCGTCGCCTTGACTGTTGGCGACGAGAATGCGCACACAGAGACCACAACCCCGAGCTTGCGCCCGAGAATCACGAGCTCGTACCAGAACAGGTCGCTCCGATACTTGGCCACAAGGAACGCGTACTTGGACGCAAACGTCACCTCATCCAACGCCGCCTGCTTGCGCTTCAGGAACATGCCCAGCAGCACAGGAATGGCCGTTCCCACAATCAGCGCCACAGTCAGAATCAGTGGCAGCAGCGTGTACCATGACGATGTGTAGCACCGCCGTTGCGGGTTGGTCGTCATCACCACGATCCCGCCGCCCACATCGGTGCAGTCCACATACCGCAGTGCCGCGTACATCAGCGGCAGATACAGCAGCAGGATCGTCTGCAGGTACCCACGCCCGGCCGCGTACACCACCGCCCACTCGAGGGAGCACAGCGAGCGCTTGTTGCCGTACACGCTGTCGGCATCGCGCGAGGCCTGCCACCTCCGCATCACGTTTCGCAGTCCGATGTACCCGAGGGTGACCACGGCAAACGGAAACAGAAACAGGATCGGCAGCGCCATCGTCATGCCCCACTTGAACATCCACACGTCGCCGACGTCCACTCCGCACTCGGGTGACGCCAGGTCGAGGTTGAGGTTCACCAGCGAGACAACGTCAAACACCCCGCGCACCAGCGGGTGCCACTCCAGCCGGATCGTCCCGTAGATCGCCACAGCCTGCAGCGTGTTGAGCGCAATGACAAACGCCGCATACCCGTACACCTTGGAGTTGCGCATGTTGATCCACACCACGGCCGCCACAAATCCAAACACTGCCAGCACCAGGCACACAATGATCAGCGCGTTCGATCCCTTGCACTTGCGGCATCCGTCGCCAAACTGGTACCAGCCCTTGGTGCACTCGGCGCACAGCCGCCCGCGGTAGCCCTCGGTACAGACTCCGTTGCCGGCACACGACGCCGGACGCGGACATGCCACAAACGAGCTGCCGTCGTCCGAGAGCTCAAAGCCGGGGCCCGGCCGTGGCGGCTCGTGGCCGCCGGCGCAAACCGCACCAAACGGACACGGAACACAGCCCTGGCCCTCGACCTGGCCGTTCGGTCCGAACCAGTATGTGGTGAGGCAGGTGCAGTTGATCCACGACGCCGATCCCTCGGGCGCGCGCATAAACTCGGGACATGCCGTGCAAAACGCAGCGTTGCGCGTCTCCGAGTAGGTGCCGACCCCGCACGGAACACATGCCCCAGTAGTGCCGGACCCGACACTTCGCGTTCCGGGAAGACACGTCGTTGAGACCTGCGCCACATACGGCGAGCCGAGAATGTCCTCGCCGCCGACCTGGATCCGCAGCGTGTACGTTCCACCCTCGGCCACAAGCACGCTGAACGAGAGCTTGGAGCCGGCAAGGCTAAACGATGTCACCGGCGTCGTCTTGACGCCGAGCCGCATCGCAATCGACACAGCTGACGCCAGCGGCGGTGTTGTCACCTCGTTGTCGTACGCATCGCGGAGCGTGACACTGTATGTCACCACCGTCGCCGTCTCGAGTGAGAGCGTGCCCGTATCGGGCAGATCGTCGAGAGTTGACGCTGCTGCCGACGCTGGGCCGGGCACGACCTCGGCGTCGACGGCAGTAGTTCCGAGCACAAAGTCGACGTTGTTGACAGCGAGCTGAAGCGTGTACGTAAAGCCCGCAACCGTCGGCGGCCGCATCGTCACATCGTATATACCGTTGGTAGTGTAGGTGGAGACCGTGACCAAGTTGTCGAGCGAGGCAAGCTCGGCCGGCGCCGAGACGTACGCCTGCGGCACGTCAAGCCCAGTCTCGACCGGCTGGACCAGGGAGTCGCGAATGGTCATCTGGAATGGGCCGATGGTGTCACCGGCAACCACGGTGTATTGCGGGACGAGGCCAGTGACAAACGAGTTGGTGATGTTGAACGCCGAGCAGAACGGCGGTGTGGCGCCGGTCCACATCGATCCCAAGTCGGGCGTCCACGTGCACGTCCGCGCCGTCGAGCCGAGGAGGGTGAAGCCGTCATCACAAGCAAACGAGCAGGTCTCGTCAAACGCACCGGGCGTGATCGCGTTCGACGCCCCGGTACAGGTCGTGGTCCCGTCAAGCAGCACCGGGAGCGGCGGGCACGAGACCTCGGCGCAGGTGGGCGGCGGCTTGCTTGTTCCGTTCCAGCCTCCGCCCATGCACGTCCGCTCCTGGAAGCCGAGGACAAAGTCAAAGCCCACATCACAGGTGTAGGAGGCGACTGAGCCGAGATAGCCAAAGTTGGAGAAGGAGACGGTACCA